CCTCTTCTACCGGGATGAGGTGGTGGTGGGGGGGCCCCAGGGCTCCCCTCGGCTCTGGCTGCCAGCCGTGGGGCTGTCCCACTCGGGGAACTACTCCTGCGAGGTGCGGCCGGAGACGGCCAGCGTGCGGAAACGCAGCGCCCTGGTCACCATCACGGTGCGCAGTGAGTGTGTGGGAGGGATGGGGACGCACCGGGGCCCTGAAGCCCTCCCTGGGTCCCCACATCCCTCCCCGGGTCCCTCCATCCTTCCCTGCGATCCCTCCATCTCTCCCCAGATCCCCCCATCCTTGCCTGGGTCCTCCCATCCCTCCCCAGGTCCCCACATCCCTCACCAGGTCCTTCTGTCCCTCCCTGCAGTCCCTCCATCCCTCCCTGGGGTCTTCCCATCGCTCCCCAGGTCCCTGCATCCCTTCCGGGGTCCCTCCATCCCTCTCTGAGTCCCCCCATCCCTGCCTGGGTACTGGGTACCCCATCTCTCCCTGGGGTTCCTCCATCCTTCTCCAGGTTCCTCCACCCCTCCCTGGGGCCCCCCATCCCTCCCTGTTGTCCCTCCATGCTCCCCCGGTCCCTCCATCCCTCCCAAGGTCCCCCCACCCCAGCCTGGGTCCCCGCATCCCTCCCCAGCTCCTTCCATCCCTCCAAGGGTTCCTCCATCTCTCCCTGGGTCCCCACATCCCTCCCCAGGTCTCCCTATCCCTTCCTGGGTCCCCACATCCCTCCCCAGCTCCCTCCATCCCTGGGGTCTTCCCATCGCTCCCTCCCTGAAGCCCCTCCATCCCTGCCTGGGTCCCCTCATCTCTCCCTGGGGTCCCCCTCCATCCCTCCCCAGGTCCCCCTGCCCCTCCCCAGGTCCCGCCACCCCTGCCTGGGTCCCCCATTCCTGCCCATCTCCTCCCCGCAGGGGTCCCGGTCTCCAGGGTGTCCCTGGCAGCGCAGCCCCCCGGGGGACAGGTGGCAGAGGGCGACCGCCTGGTGCTGGGCTGCTCGGTGGCCGCGGGGACAGGGCCCATCTCCTTCTCCTGGCACCGGCAGGGCTCGGCTGCGCCGCTAGCCACGGGCCCCCGCTACGAGCTCCGTGCCGCGCAGCACCAGGATGGCGGCCGCTACCACTGCACAGCCACCAACGGTGACACCACGGCCGACAGCCCGCCGCTGTGGGTCACCGTCCTGGGTGAGTAGGACCCTCCGGCTTCGGGTGCCCCCCCACCCACAGCATCACCTCAATCCCACGCCGGGGGACAGCCACTGCCACCGGTTTGACCCTGGCACTGTCTCTCCGCCTGGCAGTGCCGGTGGCTGGTGCTGCCATCACGATGGAGGGGACGGAGCCATCGGTGCCGGCGGGCGAGAGCCTCAACCTGAGCTGCTCTCAGTGTCGGCGGGCGAGAGCCTCAACCTGAGCTGCTCGGTGCGGGCGGGCACCGCGCTGGTGACCTTCACGTGGCTGCAGGATGGGCAGGAGCTGGGCTCGGGGCCCGTCCTGTCCCTGGGGACCCTGGGGCTGGCGCACACCGGGACCTACCAGTGCCTGGCCACCAACCGCCTCGGCGCCCACCGCGTCTTCCAGGCGCGCAGCCCCGCGCTGGCCCTCTTGGTGACGCAGCTGGGATGGGGATGGTGGCAGCAGGGCACAGGTGGGGGCTGCGCTTATCCGCCCCCTCCTCGGGGTGCCTGTGGGGGTCCAGCCCCCCAGGGTCGGCGCTGACCCGGGCTTGTCCCCACTCTGTCCCCAGCCATGGCCGTGGGGCTCAGCGTGTCCCTCCTGCTCCTGCTCCTGCTCGGTGCTGCCATGGCCTGGCACCTCCGGCACCAGTGCCGTGCAGGTGGGTGGCCCACACCGGAGGGCTGGGTGCCGGGTCAGTGGTCCCAGGTGGGGTGAAAGCCCCCGACACCAGCTGGGGGG